ACGCAACCATCTTACACCGGAAAGCATAAAGGCACTGTTAGCGGTCTCATTCCCGAACACTCAGATTCTTGACTTCGAGAAGGGTCCTCCTGGGATTTAGTGGTATTTTAAGTGGTAACTCTTAATTATATCATTAGAAACCCCTGTTTTGCCTTGGTTTCTAAATCCACTGCTATCACTCCTCCCCCATAGCGACAATTTTCGCGGTTTTTGATGTCACCTCCCGCATTCCGACCTCATGCGGTCTGTCGGCGCTCACGGCGGAACCCTCAGTATTCACTGTCTACTAGTAGTTCGGTCGTACCTCCCTTCCCCACTGCTCGGCTGAGCTGGAAGCTTGCTGTTGCCGATCGTATCGGGGTTCCTCCAGTCTGGCCTCTTTGACGCGGCGTATCAATCCGACCCAGACGATCTCAATTGTGAATCCCGTATACAATGCCATTTGCAAGCCAGTCCTGTCTGACCCACATTCGTACCCATCAAGGCTGACATTTATTGCTACCCTGACGATGACCGACAGCATTCCGTTATTTACCGCCACCTACAGGCCAGTCCTGTTCGTTTTTTCCTGTCATTATTCTTATTAGGGTTTTTTTCTCCTTTAAAATTAATTCAATCATTTTTAATTTTTTTAAGGAGTTTTTTTTCACCCCTCAATTATCATGTTTCTCAATGGACTTCTAATTCAGAAACTATGAATTGCATTTTGTAAAGATTCGGCCTACCTCGTCTAATACTCGCATGTAGATTTATTTTAACTTGCTTTGATGGGACCCCGACAGGTCGTTAATAAAAAATTATCTATCTATCTAGACTAGGAGAATCGGACAGTTTATGGGGCGCCAACTTCTCTCACCTGAAAGCTAATTATCCTCATACTCGACCTCTCTCTGGAACTGAATTTGAAGACGCCAGCGGGATTTGGAGGGAACCAGAGAACCAATTGCCAGGACCTAGTTCTTAAAAAAGATTTCTCTAACATTGGCAAGGTCTATTCCAGTGTACCCCTCGGTAATACTGAGCATACTAAAATAATGTCAGCATACTCACTGTTTTTCAACGTCGGCAGAGGACTGAAGGCTAATAAAAGATTTATGAAAGGAAGATTTCAGCGTGACGGATACCAAACGGATGTCGGCAAATTGGGACTATACATATAAGGGAGACTCAGGGGATGGCAGGAGATCAAGTAGACGATTTTACCAAACCTGATTTGGTGATGTTTTCCAGCAGCGACTCAAAAAAGATAAGTCACCCTGCCTGCTCAACAAAAGAACATAAGAGACAGTTAATGAAGATAAATAAAAAGCAAAGATATTACCGGAAAGTGGGTAGCAACGCACCTCGAGGGATCGCGTAGTTAAAAATGCGATAAAAAAGGAGTCACAATTAAAAAAGGATTATGAATCAAAATTATTCAGGCGGTTGTTCATTGGCCAGATATTAAATTTCCATGTGAAAGCAAAAATTAATATCACAACCTCATTGCTACGGCTGGAGAGACTTCTTCCAAATTTCAAACATAAATGCTTGCGCTGCAAAACTGTACGAAATTTTGGATCCACGTACTTCTCGTATGGTTCCCCGTAAGAAAATAATTAATGTCAGGGATGAGATTTTCCTACCCTTACCATTTCGCCGCAGGTTTCGCAAACTTTCTCGTCGATTCCATCTTCAGAACGATGTTACCGT